CCGCTGAGGCAGTAGGTGGAGCTCCCTATGGGGCCACGAAGCGTATCAGGTGTGTGTGTGTGTGTGGGGGCGTCAAATTCGGGGTGCGTGCGCCGCCTACTGAGGCCGTCGGTGGAGCCGCGATGAAGGCGTGTACTCCATGCGGTCGCGCCTGCGGAGGCCGTCTGGGTGAGCTAGATGACAACGATCCTGCCGAAAGTACAAATACTCATCGCGAATCATTCCTTCTTCCACCAACGTGGTTTTCCGTCGTCGTGAGAGAGCAAAAATACGTAGGGCGTCGGTCAGAACGTCACTGCGCCACATGCGTGAATGGCATGCTGGATGTCGTGCTGCCTCTGCATCCAAATGCATGAGATTTTCCCTCGTCGTATCCAGCAGGTATTGGCCATGTGGGATCTTGTCCCATGGAAGCTGTTGTGGCAGCCAACTGCCTGGATGACTGAAGTGAATGATCTCGGGCTCATCCTCATATGTGGTTGAACCTGGGTCCCGTAGGTGTGAGGACGACGCATTCGGGTCGGGTCCGTCGTCGCCCACTACCTTGTAATACATGCCAAGAGCACTTTCTTCAGCAGAAGTGGCATGAATCGGTAATCGTGCCTTGCACTCGGGATCCTCCATCTCGGGCCGTGCGTCCACGAGCCGGTGGTGATGATCGTCGTCGGAACCGCGAGGGTGCGGTCGCATGCCCGCGATCCAGTCGTTGATGAGGTACGATGCGTTCAGCCGGTAATGCTCCATCACGTCGTGAAACACAAGCTAGAGTCACTCCTCAGTGGCCCCGATGAAATAGAGGTGCCCCAGGTAATTGTATTTGGGCAGGTCGAGGTCTTCAACGATGCCTGTGAGTAATGCGTCTGATGCAGTGGGCGCCGCACCTGGTGCATGAGGGCATTCGCGAGGAAGATGAAGTGGCGAGTTGCAGTTATAGCACTTCATGATCTGGCCGTCTTTGCGAATCGGCCTCTGTTGGCGGCCTTTACCCTTGCCCGATGATCGCGATCTGTGTCGCGCGCCCTTGCCTAGGCCTTTGCCGCGACCTCCGAAAACAAGGGGTCCTCGTCTGCTTCGTCTGTGAGGGCGGTGACGTGCGTCTGGATGCCCTTGCCGCCGAGACGTCTCCGTCCTCTTCGGCTACCGCGTCCGATACCCTTGAGGGTGCGCTTCGTAAGGCGTCGTACTCGGCAAACGGGTTTGCCCATATAGCGTCGCCACCTGCCGTAGTGGTACTGCTTATGCTAAAGGAACTCCTGGGCGTGATGTCCTCTGGTAGGTCGGCGAGATCGTTCCAGGTGCGGTTGTTGTCGTAATTGGGCGAATTCGTGTCCGTGTCCGTGCCGCTGACGTCCTCTTCCGTCGGGTTCCCCCACGGCGTGCCTGCTGGTGTCGCTGGAGGTGCAGCCCGCGTCGTAGGTGGAGCCCGGGCGGTCGAGTTTCCTGGGGCGCCTTGGCCGGCGCGAGTAGACCAGGATCCTGCTGCAGGCGCTCCTTCGTGTTAAATCTCGAAGAGATTCGTCAGTCATGTGAGTTTACGAAACGTGTGCATCAACCCTCGAGTCTCTTCCAATGAAGTGTGCTATGTTCCCTGGCATGCATTGCGTAATGAGTCGTCGCCGTGGCAATGCTTCCAAGAGGTTCTCGCGCTGCTGCTGATTGCGCCGAAGCTGGGATGCTGCTGCTGCTGCGCCATGGAGCCGTTCAACGGCTGAAAGGGGCCGCTTCTCCTGGGGGAATTCGTTGGGGTCACACGAATGTGGCGAATAGGAATTGGAAGTTGCCCAGGCCGAAGCCGGTCGTGTCCGCCTCCATCCTGGCGGTCCCCCATCTGGCAAGGACGCTGTCGATGCGCTCGTTCGGCTGCGCCCGAAAGTCTGGCAACTCGATGCCTTGTCAAAGATGTCTCATCTTCTACGCTTTTGAGCCGTTATCAGATAACATGGGAGATCTGTTGCGGGGTCCGTTCGTGCCTCGTTGATTTCCGCGCCAAAACTAATAATGACGGCGGGAGGTATTCTCATGACCAGCGTCCTGGCTAGGTCCTGGAGTCCACGCTGCAATGCTGCAGCCTGCGGTGACGGCGTCATGCGTCCAGCATGGAAGTTGAGCCACGCATGGGCTTCCCGGATCCACGCTCGATGGGGGGCCGAGCCTGCTGGATCCCATGCGGGATCTCCTGTTTGATCTCTTTCTCGTTCACGGATCAGGTGGCAGATGATAGCGCCGATGGCCACCGCGAGTTATCCATATACCACAATTCCCAGACAATGAACCCTGTTAAGGTAAGTGGAGGTAATTGATGTAGTTTTGGACGTGGTAACGGTGCCAATCTTGTTTCCACGGTCGGCTGGAGACAGAGAACAGTTCGCGAGTCGGCGAGCCTGCGGGTCGGAGATGCACGGGTCGTTCGCGTCTCCTCGCGCGAAGGTAGGCGAGGTCGAAATTGGAGAAGTAGTAGCCGATGCCGCGGAGAGTTGCGAATCATTCGTGTCTCCACGAGCGAAGGTGAATGAGGTCGTAGTCAGGGACGTAGTTGTAGATATAGTGCATAACTGGGAGTCGTTCGCGTCTCCACGGGCGAAGGTGAATAAGGTCGTAGTCGAGGACGCATTGGTAGCCGTGGATAAGTTGTGGATGTCGCTGTGGCGGTCGAGGGTCCTCGCGCGTCCGACGGAGCGTCGATGCAGAGGAAGGCCTTGATCTCGTCGGTCGAATCTCCTCGCGCGTCGGTCGCCCAGGTGGGTCGGGGAGGGATGGAGCGCGATGGCGATGGGCGAGAAACAAAACGCATTGTTCTCCTCCCGCCGCCGCAAATCGAGTGCAGGCAGCTGCGCCCGCACTGGCAGATCGGGCGGCGCTGCCTTGGACCAAAGCAGCAGCGGAAAAAAAGGCAACCATGCGTCCCCACCCTGGGGCGCACCTGCAAGATGCGGCTGCCATTGCGCTGCAGCTAGATGCTCCCTTGAAGCCGCGCGCCAGCGCCAAATCGCAGCAGCCCCAGCGCTCCCACAACCCGAGCTGCAGCGGCGTGCTCCCAGCGCGGCCAGCCGCGTCGCCGCTGGCCAGGCCGCCTCGCCCGCCGCACCCAAGGCTGATCGGGGCGCAGACGGGGCGACCCGCGGTGGCCCTCCGCCGCGGCGCCCCTCGCGCGCGGCAGCTCCCGTCGCGTTGCGTCGGGCACGGGCGCCGTGGCACCCCTCGCGGAGACCCCGCGGTCCAGGACGGTGAGGAACGACACTTCGGACGGCGGCATGAAAAGCCCAGCGACGCCTGCACCTCCCACGCGGGCCGTGCTGGCAGCGCTGCGCTCAGCCAGCGCTCGTCCGTGACTCTGTGCCCCGAGTTGGGCGCGGGAGCCAGCGCGGAGCACGCGCATGACGCCAGCCGCAGTGTCGTCACCAACACTATTTGTTATCCCAGCGCTCCCGTGCGAACAATCGTCGACTACACGCCTGCACGGGCACAACCTGCATGCAAGCTGGGCCCGCACACGCGCGAAACGGCGCTGGGAAATCCAACGTGTATTGTTTTTATCCACGCAGGCGGCAGTCTGGAAAGAACCCCAGGTTTTGCTGGCAAGTCAAGAGGCCGTGGCCACCACAAAGCCAGCTAGAGAAGAGGGAGGACTGCACTGCCTGGCCGCGGGTGGCGTTTCTCGTGGTGTCGACGTCGCTAGACTGGGCGGGTTGCGTACGCAGCGTGGTGTCCGCGGCGGGCATGGCTACCACCGGCACTCCACCCACCCCGCACTGCCGCCGATGTGCACGCCGCGCCAGTGCTGTCGGCCCAGAGGAGGCCAGACCGTGGGCCCAGGCGCTCTTTTGCATCATGGCGGCATCAAGGGAGCTCCCTCCTGTCGCTGGCTCCCGCTCTGCCGCCAACACTATGGTGCCAACGGCCGGGCAAGAGGTGAGGTATCCCCCCTGCGGCAGTGGCCGCCGGCGCCCTCACGTGCAAATTGAACACGTTGTTCAGCGCCTACATGGAACTGGCAGGCTCAACAACCACGGCTGTCTCGCCCGAGTTCCGCGCTTTGGAGCTGGCACGCGGCTCCGCTGTGAGCCGCTCGCTAGCTGATACCGCCGCTGGTGCGGCGCGTTCACGCGGCACGGGGCCCATAAGCGGGAGCCTCTCCGCGATGGCAGGGCCCGGCGCCGCGCAAGTGCGACTCGGGGCCTGAACGGCTGCAACCTGAACAAGCTGCGACGATTGCGAATTCTCACGTCTCACCCCACCCACCCACATCGTCACCATTATCACCAATACCATTACCATCATTAACATCACCACCACCACTATTCTCATCCTCATCCTCGTCCTGCTCCTCCTCACCATCACCATCGTCATCGCCATAATCATCATCACCATCACCATCACCATCACCATCACCATCATCATCATCACCATCATCATCATCACTGTCATCAACCTCATCATCATCATCATCATCATCGTCATCGTCATCGTCATCATCATCACCATCATCACAATCACCATCGTCAGCACCATCACCATCAACATCATCATCACACTGATCATCATGATCATCATTATCATTACCATCACCATCAACACCACACTCGCCATCATCATCAGCATCATCTAGATCATCATCAGCATCATCTAGATCATCATCAGCATCATCGCTATCATCCTCACTATCATCATCACCGTAGTCTTATAACCACTACACTCATCATTATCATCATGACCAACATCGTAATCGTCGTCATCACCACTTCCCTCACCATCACCATCACGAGCGCCACAGCCATCACCATCATCATCATCATTAGCATCATCAGCATCACTATCAGCAGGGCCATAACTATCATCACCATCACCGCCATCATGATCATCACCGTCATCGTCATCGTCACCAGCATCACCATCAACAACATCACCATCATCATCACCACCTTCGTCATCTTCACCATCATAAGCAATATCATCATCATGATCTGTATACCTAATCTGGATCACTTGGTCGCACCGCCAACCTGGTGGTCCTCTGAAGAAGACAAGCCCCTCGTGACGATGTCGCCGAACAAGCAGGCGTCGTCTATGAACGTTGCCTTCCGTGCTCTCTCGCCGTCCAAGCCATTCCCATGCATCAGCTTAACAACGCCTCGACTTGGAAACACATACACAAGTGCGTCCGCCACCTACCTGCAATGTATGCTGGCGTGCCGCCCCCTCTTTTTGTTCCAGCTGGACGATTGCGTACGACAAGATGTCACGGAAGCAGGCGGCAGACGGCGTTCGCCACCGCAAGGGAGGCGCCCCATGGTCAGCAGTAGCGCTCTCTGCCTGTATCTGGTCATTCTGCTGGGCTTCTTTCATGCTGGCACTCGCTCCTCGGCTGACTGTATGAACCCTGCAGGGTGTAGCCCTCAATTTGAAAGAAACGTAACCAGGGAAACAATCGTTTACCTGCAGCCCAGTATGCATCGAGGTGAAAGCATACGCCCCGTCGGTCTCTTGAAAAGCGGCCAGGCACCACAGGGAACCGACCGAACCCACTTCGTATCAGCAAAACCCACTTCGTACCAGCAGTCGTCATCGCAGAGGCAGTAGCAGCAGTGTCAGCAAACGCACCAACAGCACCAATAATGCTCGCAGTCGCACAAAAGTGTCCAGCAGTGAATCCGACAACGCTGTAGCCAATAACTTCGATCATCAACTGCGCTACCGAGGAACCCCACATACTTCGCTTTAACTCTTGTCTCGGGGATGGACAGACCCCCCTTTAGCAAAACGTGGTTTAGTGAAAACGACCTGAGGCCCAAACCGGGCGCAAGCCTGGAAAATAACGGCCACGGCGCCCTCTCGAAAACCGAAAACGGACAATTCACTAATCGACGTGTCACTGTTGGGGGTTCTGTCTACCCCCGATTGTCTTAGTATAGCTGGCGTGCAACATACGCGGATGGTGCTAGGTGGCCAAGGAAGTGCCACGCCTGCTGTGCCGCGGGCAGCCATGGCGGGTAGCGCCCCCACCCTCAGCGCACCCCCTGTGCCGTCGAGGAAACGCCACGCCTGCCATGCCCCGCGAGCCTGCAACGCGTAGCGCCCCCACCCCCAGCGCACCCCCTGTGCCGGCGAGGAAATGCCACGCCCTGCGAGCCTGCCCATGTGGCGTCGAGGAAACGCCACGCCTGCCATGCCCCGCGAGCCTGCAACGCGTAGCGCCCCCACCCCCAGCGCACCCCCCGTGCCGTCGAGGAAATGCCACGCCTGCCATGCCCTGCGAGTCTGCAACGCATAGCGCCCCCACCCCCAGCGCACCCCATGCGGCATCGAGGAAGTGCCACGCCTGCCAGGCTTTGCGGGCCTGCAACGTATAGCGGGAGCATGCAACGCATAGCGCCCCCACCCCAAGCGCACCCCCTCTGGTGTCGAGGAAGTGCCACGCCTGCCGTGCCTTGCGTCTGTGTCTGTGGTTGTGTTGTGTGGTGTGTGGTGTGCACGTCTCTGATATGTGTGCGGCCGTGTCTGTGTGTGTGTGTGTGTGTGTGTGGCTGTCTGTGCGAGCCTGCAACGCATCGCGGGAGCATGCAACGCATAACGCCCCCACCCCCAACGCACCTCCTCTGGTGTCGAGAAAGTGCCACGCCTGCCGTGCCTTGCGTCTGTGTCTGTGGTTGTGTTGTGTGGTGTGTGGTGTGCACGTCTCTGATATGTGTGCGGCCGTGTCTGTGTGTGTGTGTGTGTGTGTGTGGCTGTCTGTGCGAGCCTGCAACGCATCGCGGGAGCATGCAACGCATAACGCCCCCACCCCCAACGCACCTCCTCTGGTGTCGAGAAAGTGCCACGCCTGCCGTGCCTTGCGTCTGTGTCTGTGGTTGTGTTGTGTGGTGTGTGGTGTGGTCTCTGATATGTGTGTGGTGTGTGTGTGTGTGTGTATGTGTGTGTGTGTGTGTGTGGTGTGTGTGTGTGTGTGTGTGTGTGAACGGCCGTGTCTGTGTGTGGTTGAGTGTGCGAGCCTGCAACGCATCGCGGGAGCATGCAACGCATCGCGCCCCTACCCCCAACGCACCCCCTCTGGTGTCGAGAAAGTGCCACGCCTGCCGTGCCTTGCGTCCGTGTCTGTGTCTGTGTTGTGTGGTGTGTGGTGTGTGTCTGGTGCGTGCGTGTGTGTGTGTGTGTGTGTGTGTGTGTGTGTGTGTGTGTGTGTGTGTGTGTGTGTGTGCGTGCGCGTGCGTGTGCGCGTGTGTGTGTGTGTGTGTATGTGTGTGTGTGTGTGTGTGTGTGTGTGTGTGCGGCCGTGTCTGTGTGTGTGTGGTTGTGTGTGTATCTGTGTGTCTGTGTGTATGTATGTCTGTAGGGGAGGAAGGAAGAGCAGGGGAGGAGGGAGACGCAGGTGAGATGCGGCAGGGAATACTACAACAGTAATACCAGGCAGCAGTACCAATGACAGTAACAGCTGCCAACTGTGCCTGTGGTGGCAAGATCACTAACGCACGGCGGTCGCACCAGCCTCAGCAACTATAGTAATGCTCAGTATCAAGTTTACCAGCATACTTGCAATGCTGGTAGCATCAATGACAACACAACATCAGCAACCATCATATCGCGAGCCATCATTTGTTCCAGCATCAATAGCATTAGCAGCATTGCCACCAACAACAACAACCCAAACAGGAGTAGCAACATACACATTGTGGCGACGATGGCAGCAGCATGCAAGAACAACAACACTGCAAACTTCGAACATATGTATCACGGCAAACCACAGCAGCCGTATTTCATCCACCAGCAGAGCCAACAGCTGCATGTAATGGCAGCATGAGCGGTACACACACGATTACTCACCAATCTCAGCATACTATGGAGTATCCGCATGACAACCAATAGCGACAACATCAACAACATTGTCATCAACAGCGTCAGCGGCGAAATTCGTATCAGCAGTAGCAGCAGTACCTGCATGTATAGCACAAGTCAGCAAACGGCCAACATCAACTACCAACATGTAGCACTATGAATTTCTGATCAATCGCCAGGACTGTCGGAGGAATCTTTTTCCGGGAGCTCGGCTACAGTTTCTTTCGATCGAGCCCATGATGCAATCGGGCCACAGTCAAGCGCGAGTGATGCGAAACCTGATCGCACTCGGACCCAGGAGAACGATACCTGGGATCCAGCGGACACTGTTGGGGACACTGCGTGTGGAGGGGCATACATTGGGGCACCGTGGGGCTCCTTTAAAACCAGCATGGGCTGGACGGCCTTGGGGCACTGCTTTGGGACAACCTTGGGGCATGCGCTCATGGTGCCAACAGAACACCCATGAAACGAACGTTGTGATCCTCAAGGGCTGTACTCTGCGTGCCAGCAACCGTTTGAGGGCGGCCCGCGGCAGGCCATGGAGAAAAGGCTACCAGGAGAAGTTCAATCGCCAAGCTGACCCAAAGAGGTCCATGAGTAGTTGAGCTGGGGTGATTATCGCCAAGCTTGGCGACATCCCGAGCGGCTCTGCTCCCGTGGGGCTCGAAGTTCAAATCCAGGAGGGCCTGGGGCCTCACGCAGAACCTGCGGGAGGAGCGGGGGAAGCGAGGGGGGAAGTGGTGAGGGAGGGGGCAAACTTTGGCGGGGAGCGAGGGGGGGGAAGTGAGAAGGGGAAGGCCTTCTCAGAAGGCGGCGGGGCTTCTCAGAAGGCCTCCAGCCTTCTGAGAAGTTTTCTGTGTCTCCGGGGAAGGCTTCGAACACCTCTGAGCTGAGAAGGCTGGAGGGCTTCCGAGACTTCTGAGAAGGCCCGCCCCTTCTCGCTTCCCCCCGGGCTCGCCGCCGAAAAACAGCGGGGTCGTGATATATATATACACACATATATATATATATATATATATATATATATGGTTAGACATTTCTATACATGTATATATACATATACATATACATATCTATATTTATATGTAGATCTGTCCACGTATATTCATAGTGCTATTTATATATATATATATGTGTGTATATAGGTCGAAACCTTGACCACTGGCCTTTTCAATTTTTGGCCAAACCGACCACTATTTAAGACATCGTCCTCGAAACCACAACTTGCTCTAAACATTTCAAAACACATTTGGCCGGCTTCCGATCGGAATCAAAGACCTCTCCCCGCCACCGTCCTGCCCGATTCTTTGAGCCGCGTCCAGCGGCCGTGACAAGAGGCATCGGGGGCTCCAAGCATAAACGAAGATCATAATCGCTGGGACAAGCAAACCAAGTACGGTTGAGGCGCCAGATTCGGGGATCGCGGCTTATGCTCCTTCGTGAAACCTCTCCCAACCTCTACAATTACGAATACATCCCGACGTGGGTGCATCGGACAATCGATCCCCTCGCTTTGAGTGTTTTTCTGCGCCGTGTTGGTGTACGGTTATCGGGAAGCTCGAATCGGGCACGAAGGACCCAAACTCAAGGCAACATGGCAAGTTCGCATCGTGTCGACCCCGGCGTTCGGCCGTTTCAGAAACGCGTGATCGTTCAACGAGGGCCGATTCTGGGCCACGGGCGGCGTTCAGCCTCAAACGCCCGCGCTGGGGTCGCTGCTGGTCGACACGACGCAAACCGACACCCCTGCGTAGAGGCTAAGCCAAGAAACTGGACTTTACTCCAAGCGCTTTCTTAAACAGCAACCCAGATCCAGACCTACGAACGTTTCACGACAAGAACTCCAAGAGAACGCACAGGGTCCAGTCCAGATTCCCAGCTTTCTGAAACGAAGCATGCAGTCCATGAAAGTGGATGCTTCTTCTTTAAACTTCTGATGGGTGCGCGGTACATGCGCCGTCGTTGTTCGTCGCGGCTCCGACAACTCGGGCCCGGTGACTGATTCAGGGGCAACGTAGAGGGGATTTCATGGCGCCTGCTCTCATGCCATTGCGTTCCCGGCACCCCCCTTGGCCGCGCGCATGCCGTCGTTATTCGTCGCGCCGTCGTTATTCGTCGGCGCAGGCTGTGTGCGTGGTCTGGGGCCGGCGCCGGCCCGCGGGAAGAAGCGGCGGAGGGAAGACGGCCGCCGCCTGCGCGCTGGCGCTGGCCTGCCCTCGGCGGCCCGCGGGGGTGAAAGGGCTGCCGCCTTCGGGCGTGCCGCCGCCGATGCAGAAGCGGGCCCCGCAAACGTGTGGAGACATGTTGCGCTCGTTTTAATAAAACGAGCGCAACATGGAGGCCTGTCCTAGTCAATATAATATGGAGGCCTGTCCTAGTCAATATGCTGGCGGATTAACGGCAAACAGGAGCAAATGTCCGCAGATGGCGGCAACCGGATAGAGCCAAATAGCGGCACACGCCCGGCGCCAACCGTCCACCAATTACCCCGTCTTTGCCGCTACTGGCAGCCAAACGCCCAAAAGAAAACTTGCGGTGTCATTCACGGCTTCCATATAAACAAACCTAAGACATGGGTGTGCAAACCATGCTCTAACTCAACACTTTCTCTGAACGGCTGCTTCGAACGCAAATATGGTCTACATTTTCCTGCGTCACGGCTGCTCGACTGGCAGCGACCAGCAAGATTACAGTTGGCGGCCAAGACGCCAGGACGGGTCACATTTGCAGGAGGGACCCTATATACATCCTTCTCTCCGACTGTACGCTGACACAGCATGTCCTCACCTCCGGTTGAGCCAGCCACCACATCCACTGCGGCAGAAACGACCGCCTCAACATTCCCACCTCTCAGCGGATAAATATGTCATCTCGATGCCTTGTGTGAAAAACAACAACCAAGTAGAATTCACGCAATAGTCAAACAACCATGCGGAACACATTCCGTTTTGTTGTCTCAACGACGTGAACGGACTACGATGCAATTGTCAACTTGCCTGGCCGCGGCCAACTTAATTCAGGTAGTTTTCCATTAGGAAACCATGAAAAGGCTGCGCTCGCAGAAATGCCATACCCAAACAAACCAAGCAAACATATAAATCGGATGGTCAACTTGGCTTTCGAATCTTGCTCCTGCATGTCCGTGTGAGAATGTCAGCTGTCACATAGCTGTTCACACTGCCCTTACTTTGGACAGAACATGTTCGAAGGAGGCTGTTCTGGCTTTGCTTCCGCCTCCCCACGTTTCAAAACACAGTGGGTACGATGATGAGGAGGCTGGCCTTTCTTGGGCGCTTCCGCTCAACAGCCAACCTGAAGGAAAAAACAGAGGCGGAAGAAGAGGACACCAAAGTGAGGCGGCAAGGCCTCACAACCACCTCTCTCCCCGCCGGGCCTTTCGGCAGAGTTCCGCACCTCCAGCACATCTCGAGGCCCGGCATTGCCATGGTGCCGCAGGAGCACACCACTGGTCCTGGGAGGGCATCGGCCCAAAAGTGTGGGCCATCCCCAGCTTGCCACCTCGAAGTGGTCTGGTCGCCATCGCTGCCGAGAAGAGCGGACAGAAGGGAATCGAGCGGAGATGGACAAGCAACGACGCGGCCAGCAGGGCCGACACGAGAGAGCAGAGCAGATCCTCATGGAGTCCATGTCTAGGCTGACTAACTGACTACCAGAAAAAAACTAGACTGCACTCTGAAAGGGTTCCTTCGACACCAGACGTCTTTCAATGCAAGCCCTCCACAGGCTCACAGCAAGAACTGCACTGACCGACTGGCGCCACGATGGGCACGCAGTTCTCAGAGGGGAAAGAAGAGGAAGGGTAGAACCAAGACCAGTCCACAAGAAACCCATCGCAATAAAGCCAACCCTGAGAGTCGCCGAGATTTTTTGGACCAAGGCTGGGTTTTTACCTAACAGCGAAGACTGATAGGTTTCTAGTGGTCTCAAAAGAGAGCAGCAGATGACTCCACAAGGGGGTCGGGGCGGGACCCGGGGCGGCTGCCGTCGAAGCCCAAATCGCCTGGGACATCCTCGCAAAATCGCTCCTGGCGCGCCCAGAACGCCATTCCCGGGCCACATTTTGGATGCCCGGAGCCAACTGTAGGCCACTTCGTGCTCTTCGACTTCCCAGAACTCCATTCCCGGGCCACATTTTGGATGCCCGGAGCCAACTGTAGGCCACTTCGTGCTCTTCGACTTCCCAGAACTCCATTCCCGGGCCACATTTTGGATGCCCGGAGCCAACTGTAGGCCACTTCGTGGTCTTCGAGTTCCCAGAACTCCATTCCCGGGCCACATTTTGAATGCCCGGAGCCAACTGTAGGCCACTTCGTGTCTTCGAGTTCCCAGAACTCCATTCCCGGGCCACATTTTGAATGCTGAGGCAGGCTGAGGCTGAGGCTGAGGCAGGCTGAGGCTGAGGCAGGCTGAGGCTGAGGCCGAGGCTGAAGGCAGACTGAGGCTGAGGCTGAAGCAGGCTGAGGCTGAGGCAGGCTGAGGCTGAGGCTGAGGCAGGCTGATGCTGAGGCAGGCTGAGGCTGAGGCTGAGGCTGAGGCAGGCTGAGGCTGAGGCTGAGGATGAGGCCGAGGCTGAAGGCAGACTGAGGCTGAGGCTGAAGCAGGCTGAGGCTGAGGCAGGCTGAGGCAGGCTGAGGAGGCTGAGGCTGAGGCTGAGGCTGAGGCTGAGGCTGAGGCTTGAGGCTGAGGCTGAGGCTGAGGCTGAGGCTGAGGCTGAGGCTGAGGCTGAGGCAGGCTGATGCTGAGGCTGAGGCTGAGGCTGAGGCTGAGGCTGAGGCAGGCTGAGGCTGAGGCCGAGGCTGAAGGCAGACTGAGGCTGAGGCTGAAGCAGGCTGAGGCTGAGGCTGAGGCAGGCTGAGGCTGAGGCTGAGGCAGGCTGAGGCTGAGGCTGAGGCTGAGGCTGAGGCTGAGGCTGAGGCTGAGGCTGATGCAGGCTGAGGCTGAGGCAGGCTGAGGCTGAGGCCGAGGCTGAAGGCAGACTGAGGCTGAGGCTGAAGCAGGCTGAGGCTGAGGCTGAGGCAGGCTGAGGCTGAGGCTGAGGCTGAGGCTGAGGCTGAGGCTGAGGCTGCAGGCTGAGGCTGAGGCAGGCTGAGGCTGAGGCAGGCTGAAGGCTGAGGCTGAGGCTGAAGCAGGCTGAGGCTGGCTGAGGCAGGCTGAGGCTGAGGCTGAGGCAGGCTGATGCTGAGGCTGAGGCTGAGGCTGAGGCTGAGGCTGAGGCTGAGGCTGAGGCCGAGGCTGAAGGCAGACTGAGGCTGAGGCTGAAGCAGGCTGAGGCTGAGGCTGAGGCAGGCTGAGGCTGAGGCTGAGGCAGGCTGATGCTGAGGCAGGCTGAGGCTGAGGCTGAGGCTGATGCAGGCTGAGGCTGAGGCAGGCTGAGGCTGAGGCCGAGGCTGAAGGCAGACTGAGGCTGAGGCTGAAGCAGGCTGAGGCTGAGGCTGAGGCTGAGGCTGAGGCTGAGGCTGAGGCAGGCTGATGCTGAGGCAGGCTGAGGCTGAGGCTGAGGCTGATGCAGGGTGAGGCTGAGGCAGGCTGAGGCTGAGGCCGAGGCTGAAGGCAGACTGATTTTGAGGCTGAGGCAGGCTGAGGCTGAGGCTGAGGCAGGCTGAGGCTGAGGCAGGCTGAGGCTGAGGCTGAGGCACGCTGAGGCTAAGGCTGTGACTGCGACTGCCGTTGCCACTGCGACTGCCATCGCGAATGCGTCTACGACTGCGAGAACAGCATAATTCGACAACAAGATTCTCATCTGAATCTTAAAGGGAACGCTTCCAGATATGCTCCTATACATCGCTGTTAGGTTGCTTTGCCGGGATAATTTTGCTTAGCGGCTGCCAGCGAAGAAGCTCAGGGTGCCCTGGGCCAGGCGGTTTATGGATGGCTTGCGCAAAGCATCACCGCATCAAGACAGTCAGGGCACGTTAACAACTGCGGCTTCTTCGCGACCGCTGCAGGCCTCCAATCCGAACGCACCCCCAAGAGACCCAGGGTACCCTGGCAAAACGTGAGGTGTTTCTTGGCACGGGCTCCCACTGTAGAAGAAAAGAGGAAGCGATACGTTTAATCATCTAAGTGAGGCGAGCTGAAACCACCTCTAGAATTTGTTCTGTACTCTGGGCCGCAGGACACGGCGTGTAGTGTTCGATGCGATACCGTGCGCTAGGCTAGGCAACACTCGCTTCCTTGCCAGAATCTGCGAGCACTGCATCATCCGTTTCGCTGGATGCTGGGAACAACGACGACCACCCATGGCGGCAGCTCACGACTTTTTGCCCTGCCGAGACGGTCTGACTTTATGCAATTGGCTGGCCAACGAATGACGGTACATCAGTTCTTATATCATAATTGTCAAGGGTCATGCGGACAACAGCGACAGTGATGGCGACGGTATTATCAAGAGGCATTGTGATGGCTGTCGGGGGTAGTGATTTCAACTGATACAGCGAGCAAGGCGCGAACCAATAGCGACAATCCGACGGCAACATGACCGCAACGACCGCAAAGGAACAACCGCCATCATGCACCGCCCATGACGTCGCCACCGTCAACGACCACCTCCTCCAACCCGCCATGGCTGCGTTGGCCGCTACCCATAATCTAAATACGTAACCTGAGAACGATCCGCAAAACTGTGCGGTATGCAGGGTTTGCCCGGTACGTCAGGGAGTCTGGCCTGGAGCGTCAGGGCTGGCAGCTGCAGTACCCCACCGCACACAGCGCGAGAAGGATCTGTCACCTACTCTGCACCACCCTGTCCTCTCTGATAGGCTAGGGCACAACACATATGCTGGTTGGATGCCACCGTGTTTCCACCAGGGATCGCTACCCTGGGGGAGCGTGACTTCCTCTCCCCCCCGTGCTTTTACGATGATCGGGATAAGCGCTCCGATTCCAGGGCCTTCGTCCGAAGGGGGCAGCCGGAGCGCCAGGGGGGGGGGCGGGCCCAGCTATCTCGACCTTCGGGAAGGTTGGCCAGCCCGCTCCCTCCCCCCCACGCTGTTCCCAGCCAGCCTGTGCTGGGCCCTCGTTTTGAATCCGCAGCGCCCCCGCGTCCCATCCCGGACTCCTCCTCCCCTTCCTCTCCTTGCATCTACCCTCCACATTCCCCTTCCCCTCCTTGCATCTGCTCTCCGCATCCCACTCCCGTCCTTGCGCCCGCCCTCCGCAGGCTAATTTTTCACACGCATCATGGCACCGTAGGGAGCTACACCGAAGTCCCAATGCGACGCGGTGCATGCGGTACCCACCCCAATCTGGCACACCGCTCACAAGAGGGAGCTTCATCGAATGTGCGCCAGTGGGACGCGGCGCATGCGGTACACGCCCCCATGTCGGCACACCCCTCACACGTTTACGTTTATTTGCCCTGGAGGGAGCTCCACCGAAGGCCTCAATGGGACGCAACGCATGCGGTACCCGCCTCCGATCCGGCACAGCCCTCACACGTTTCGCGGCCCCATGCGAGGCTCCACCGAAAGCCCCAGTGGGCATTTTCACATGTTGAGCGGCTCCGTTTCGGCATGCCCATCACACGTTTCGTGGCAGCTCAATCTACGGTCCCAATGGGCATGTTCGCATGTTGAGCAGCTGCTTATCGGCACACCCCTCACATGTTTCGTGGCCCCCAAAGGGGGCTCAACCTACGGTCCCAGTGGGCATGCTCGCATGCTGGGCCGCTCCATGTCGACACACGCCTCACGCGGATCGTGCCCCACAGGGATCTTAGCCTTCGGGACCAGTGGGCGCGGACGCATGCACCCCCCGCCTAGTCTGGCCCGCCACTCACAAGGTACGCGCCCCCCCCCCACAGAGAGCTCCACCTACGGCCCCAGAGCGCGCGCTCAAATGCCGCCCTCCACCTGTTTCGTCACACTCCTCACGCGGATCGTGCCCCACACGGAGCTCCTATTGCGACACGCGTGGACACGCTCATGTGCCGCCCCCACCCATTTCCGCACCCCTCGTGCGGGTCTTGTCCCGCAGTGACCCCCACCGAGCCACCCCCAGCCCGACCCGAAGTGGCCGTTGGGTCTGCCACTTTCCAGCGGGGGAACGCTTCGGAACATCGAGAAGCACAGTGGAGCCCGTACCACCCCCAGCCCGAAATTTTGGGGTCTGGGACCTTCGGGTTGGGCAGGGGTGGGTTCGCAAGCAATGGCGCAAGGAGCTCTGCCCATGACCGCCATGGGCGCCGCCTTGACGCCGTCCCCCGCCAATTTCGGACACACCCCTCATGCAGATTATCAGGGGCTTTGCCGTACCTGCGCCTGTTTGCTCCGCAGTCCCCTGTCCGCACGGCCCAGCGGCGCGCGCCATGCATCGAGAGTACCGCGCCCTGTGCTTCCCGCAGCTGCACAGGGTTAGGCCCTTCGCCAGTCTAACCTTGCAGTGTGAATTCCCAAGGAATGGGAAACTTGAGAAGGCTCCTGGGAAGACTTGGGGAAACAGAGGGTACTTCTGGGATCCCTCTGGGAGGTCTTCGGAAGCCTCCAGGAGGTTCCTGGGAAGCTTCTGCAAAGTCCCAGCGATGGGAGGCGATGGTGAGCCCTTGGAAGCCCCCAGGGTGCAATGAAATACTGATTGTTGGAGGCAATGCGCTTTCCTCCCGAAGGAAGAGATGCAATACCCACTGCGGGAAGCAGCACAATGCCCCCAGAACGCATTCCAATACTTGTTGCGGGAGGCAATGCGCATCCCATTTGGGGCCAACAATGCAATATCCCGTGCGGGAGACAATGCCCCCCCGATCGCCAAGGGAGCGCTTGTGGCGCCTGGGAACCGCACTGGAAACTGTTTGGGAGGACTGAGGAAGACTTCATCCGTCCTTGGACTTGGGAGCGTCCCCGGCTGGACTGCCGAGGAATATTGCAGCGGTACCTTTGGGACAACGGAGGCTACCGACAGATTTGGCGGGCCCCCCCACCCATCCTCCTCGGCGCACCCGAACAGTGCGCGTGCGCGCGCGAACGCGGCGAGGCGCCGAGTCGGCCTCTGGGGGGGGGGTCGGTGGCAAATTCGGAGGCGATCGGCTCTGTCTGGTGCGAAAGAGGGGCTTTGCTACTTATATGCCGATGCGGCTGGATGCGATGTGCGTTCCAAGCCGGTCCGGCTTCCCGACTCGGTGCTGACCGGTCCTGCCACGCGGCCCGCTCCTCGGGCGTCTGCGGCGAGCAAGGATCGGGCGTCGGTCACGCAGCAGGCCCAGAGCGCTGGCGACATGACTTTTGCGGGCCCTCCGCAGAATTGCGAGGCCAGAGAGAGAGAGAGACAGAGAGAGACAGAAAGAGAAAGAGAAGGAGAGAGCGAGAGAGAGAGCGAGAGAGAGAGAGAGAGAGAGAGAGAACGACCTTGGAGGCCTCACGCAGGACCTTCCCACTGGCGGCGCTCTCCAAACCACGCCGCTATGCGTCCCAGACGCAAGCGCTTGCAAGGGTAACTCATTCCAGTTTCGAGCGCCTCGGGCACCTCGACGCGTCCCAAGGGCTCCCAAATTCGCGCTCTCACGGCCCCCCCCTTGGGGGAGAAGAGAAAGAGGAGGAGGAGGAGGAGGAGGAGAAGGAGGAGGAGGAGGAGGAGGAGGAGGCGGAGGAGGAGGAGGAGGAGGAGGAGGAGGAGGAGGAGGAGGAGGAGGAGGAGGAGGAGGAGGCGGAGGAGGAGGAGGAGGAGGAGGAGGAGGAGGAGGAGGGGGAGGAGGACAAGGAGGAGGAGGAGGACGAGGAGGAGGAGGAGGAGGAGGACGAGGATGAGGAGGCGGAGGAGGAGAAGTAGGAGGAGGCGGAGGAGAAAGTGGAGAGACGTCGGTACGACTCACTTGCCACCAGCTCGAGGTGGAGGAGGTGGAGGAAAAGGAGGAGGAAGAGCAGGAAAACGACGATGAGGAGGACGAGGACAAGTGTAAGCCCAAGACCCATCAACGATGTTGGAATGAACCCTCCCCCGAAGCTCCCTCTTCATAACCCCCTACAAGGATTCTTTTCCACTGGGGAAAGTATCCCGTTGGGAGACAGCAGTTTGAAGATCCTGAGGCTTGCCGAAACACCATTCACGAGACTTCAACGCACGAATCAACCTGACTGTTGAGACTTGACGATCCTGAATCGTGCCAGAACGCCGTTCCTGGGACTTCAAAACCGCGAATCAATGTAACTGTTGCGCCCTAGCGCTCCTGAATCGTTCCAACGCGTCGTTTCTGGCACGTTGACTACGGGAACCCATGTACGTCTTGTACCTGTTTGAAACGATTGTGCGCGGCGCTAGGACGAGAACCACACTCTGAAAAAAACACCCCCCCAATCCGTGACACGCTTACACATTTTTGCACCGAGTGTGCGCGGCGCTAAGACGGGAACCACATTTTGAAAACTACCCGCCCTTCATCCGTGAAGCTCTTGTACATTTTACACCGAGTGTGCGCGGCGCTAAGGCGATCGCCACATTTTGAAAACGACCCGCCCTCCATCTGTGAAGCTCTTGCAATAAAAAACGGGTATTCGCGGCGCGAAAATGAACACCACACTTAAAAGAAGCCGCCCGCCCTCAATCCGTCAAGCTCTTGCAATCCCACCAGCCCTTTGGGCGTGAGTGGTTTAGAGAGCCCGCTCTGTCCTCACCCCCCCTTCTTCCCCTTCGGGGAGGGGTTTACCCCTCCCCCTACCCCCTCCCCCTGGGCCTGGAGAGGGCGCGCCGCGGGTCGTTGGAGGGGTCTTTTTCGACTCCTCGGAGGGCCAAAAAACGACGACCCTCACGAGGATTCTGGCCCCGGGGGGGGGGGGGAGTTTGGCGCCTGAACTCGTCGTTGAAGTAAAAAGCATTGATTTTACTAGGGTTTTTGGCCCCATTTTGGCCTTCTGAGGGGGCCGCGCTCATCTTCCCTCATAGCATAATCATTGATTTTACAAAGGTTTTGGGCTCATTTTGTCCTTCTCAGGGGGCAGCGCTCATCTGCGCTTCTGAGGAGGTCGCAAGAGGCCCCAAGAGGCCTCCAAGAGGCCCCCAAGAGGCCCCCAAGAGGCCCCAAGAGGTCCCCAAGAGGCCTCCAAGAGGCCCCCAGGAGGCCCCAAGAGGCTCCAAGAGGCCCCCAGGAGGCCCCCAAGAGGCCCCCAGGAGGCCCCCAAGAGGCCCCAAGAAGCTCCAAGAGGCCCCCAAGAGGCCCCACGAAGAGCCCGAACGACTCACACCAGGACGAGAGACCCCAACGACTCACGCCACGAGGAGCCCGAACGACTCACACCACAAGGAAGGGCCCGAACGACTCACACCAGGACGAGGCGCCCGAACGACTCACACTACGAGGAGCCCGAACGACTCACACCACGACGCGGGCCCCGAACGACTCACACCACGAGGAGCCCGAACGAGTCACACCAGGAGGAGGGGCCCGAACGACTCACACCAGGAGGAGGGGCCCGAACAACTCACACCACGAGAAGCCCGAACGACTCACACCAGGACGAAGAGCCCGAACGAACGACTCACACCAGGACGAGAAACCCCAAACGACTCAAATCACGAGGAGCGCTCTCTCTCCCTCCTCCTCCGCCTCGTCCTTCTCCCGCTCCCCCCACAAGGAGGATGTACAAGGAGGCGGGAGGAACAAGGAACAGGGGAGATATGCGGGGCCAAGCGGACACACGCCTGAAAAACACGACTGTCGGCATGCTTCGCAAGAGTTGCTGCTGTGAGATGGGCTGGTGGGGATACGCGAAGCGTAAAGAATTTTGAATGACGAATGTGCGCGGCGCTGAAGCGAGAGGTGCATTTTGAACCGGAGCCGCCGCCCATGTGTGAAGCTGCTGCCAGTCTTTCAACTTCAGGATTATACATGGTGAGGACGTCTCAAGCGAAACGTCGGAGCCGTCCTTCCGACTGGCCTCGGGGTGTGACAGGGCAAAACTACTTTTACGGAAAATAAATGGGGGACGAGAAGGAGGAGGAAGCACGTACACAGTGAGAAGGAGGAGGAAGAGGAGGAGGAGGAGGAGGAGGAGGAGGAAGACGAGAAACACCAGTGTAAACCCCAAACTCATCAACAGTACGTTAGCCATGGTCACCCGAAAACTCTTGTACATTCTTGAAACGAACGTTTGCGGCGAAAGAGCGAGAACCATCTTTCAAAAACGAACCGCCCTCAATGTGTGAAGCCCTTGCAATGATGTAAATCGGATATGTGTGGCGCTTAGACGAACTGCGCATTTTGGAAACCACCCACCTTCAATCCGTGAGAGTCTTGTCCATTTGTTAAACGAATGTGCGCGGCGCTACAGAGATCACCGCATTTTGAAAACTACCCGCCCTCCATCCGTGAAGCTCTTGCAACAATTGCGCATTTGTTAAACGAATGCGCGCGGCGCTAAGGCGAAACGCCACATTTTGAAAACTACCCGCCCTCCATCTGTGAATCTCTTGCAGGTTTCTAAACTTCAGGCTTATACATGGTACGGACGCTTCAGGCGAAACACCTGGCCCGCCCTTCCGAATTGCCTCGGGGTTCGACAGGGAGGAGCTTTTAATACGGAGAGGGACTGGAGGGGGAGTAGGGGGAGGAGGAAGAGGAGGAGGAGGAGGAGGAAGAGGAGGAGGAGGAGGAAAAGGAGGAGGAGGACGAGGAGAAGGAAGAGGAGAACAAGGACGTGGTGGATGAGTGAGGAGCGAGGACCGCGAATCGCGTATAACTGCGCGCCTTCGTGGGAACCCTCGGCGCCCGGCACCCGTCCCCGCGGTCTCCCGAGGGGCTCGGCGAGGGCTCGTCGGCGGCGCCGCCCGCTGCAGCGGCGGCCTCGGCGGGGTCCTGGCTGGACGGCGCCAGGGTCGGGTGTTGCTAGAAATGCCCCTGGCCCAAAGTGCCCCCAGGATTTCTAAAGAACCCCGCGGCCTCCAGAGCACCCTTCACGAGGTCCAGAGAGCCCCAGGGGCTCCAAAATATAGCGAAGAGCTGGGGGCACCCAGGGCCAGGGGCACCTTTAGCAACCCTCGACACGGGGGCGGGTTCGGCAAGGAACCGATCGCCGCTGCGCGCCGCTGGCAGTGAGTGTGACAATAATTCCCCCCCTGCTTAGAATGAAGAGATCCAGAAGCTAAGATCGTACACTTCGCTCCAGGCGTTTCCTTAAACTATAGTCCAAGTCCATATATTTACGTCCAGACATACGAACACTGTACGCAAGACAAAGCTCCAAGAACACGCCCAGGGCCAATCAATACCTCTGATTTTCTTCAGCGAAATCTGGATTCCATTAAGAATTCTGGATTCCATGAGAACTCATGTTTTTCATTTAAATTTCTGTTGGGTGTTGTTCACGGGCGACGGGCCTCGAACACGGAAGCTGGGCGACAAGCTGCTGCTTGTTGGCTGCGTTCGCCGAGCATCTCGGCATGACAAAGAACTTGGACTGCGTAAGTCCTTATGCTTGTGGTGTCCCGTTGCGCCTCGCCACAAAAAAACACCAGCCATCGAAACATAATCCGAATCCGCCTCCGTGCCGCTAGGCTCGGAGTGGGCGTGCCCTCAGGTCCTTTGCCCGATCCCTGAGCCTCAGTCCTCGATCCCCAAGGTTCTCAAGGGGCCCGGTCCTCAATTGCCGGAATGCTCCGCGTCGGATTAGCGTAGCGCCGCCCCTCCATTGCTTGCTTGCTTCGCTATCATTAACCGATCGTCGCACCGTTAATTGGATTCAAACCAATTGCTTCACTCCAATTAATGAAGAACCGCTCCGCTAATTGGCCCCGAACCATGGGATTGGCAGATTGCTTCGCTCCCATTAGCGTAGCGCCGCCCCGCTATCCGGCCTCGAACCATGGGATGGGCAGATTGCTTCGCTCCCGTTATCGGAGTGCCGCACCGCTAACCGGCCTCGAACCATGGGACTGGCAGATTGCTTCCCTCCCATTAGCGGAGTGCCGCTCCATTAATTGGCCTCGGATCAAGGGATTACGATTGCTTCGCCCGCATTAGCAAAACGCCGCTCCGCTAATTGGCCCCGAACCAATGGATTACGATTGCTTCGCCCCCGCTGGCGGAGCGGCGCTCCGCTAATCGACCGCGAGCCACAGAATTACGATTGCGACGCCCTCATGCGAGGAGCGGCGCTCCGCTAAGTGGCCTCGAGCAGTTGGATTGGCAGATTGCTTCGATCCCATTCGTGGAGCGCCGCTCCGCTCGTTCGTCTCGTAACATGGGGTTGGCAGATTGCTTCGCTCCCATTCGCGGAGCGCTGGCGTCCAACCAGAGGATTACGATACTTTCGCTCCCATTGTCGGAGCGCCGCCCCGCCAACCGGCCTCGAACCATGGGATGGGCAGATTGCTTCGATCCCATTAGCGTAGCGCCGCTTCGCTAATTGGCCCCGAACCAAGAGATTACGCTAATCGGAGCGCCGTTGCGCTAACTGGCCTTGAACCATGGGATTGGCAGATTGCTTCGCTCCCGTTGTTGGAGCGCCGCCCCGCCAACCGGCCTCGAAACATGGGATGGGCAGATTGCTTCGCTCCCGTTAGCGTAGCGCCGCTCCGCTAATTGGCCCCGAACCAGTGGATTACGATTGCTTCGCCCCCGCTGGCGGAGCGGCGCTCCGCTAATCGACCGCGAGCCACAGAATTACGATTGCGTCGCCCTCATGCGAGGAGCGGCGCTCCGCTAAGTGGCCTCGAGCAGTGGGATTGGCAGATTGCTTCGCTCCCATTCGCGGAGCGCCACACCGCTAATTGGCGGCCTCGAGACATGGGGTTGGCAGATTGATCTGCCCCGTTCGCGGAACGCCGCTCTGCTACTTGGTTTCGGTTCCATTATCGGAGCGCCGCCCCGCTAACCGGCCTCGAACCATGGGATTGGCAGATTGCTTCGCTCCCATTAGCGTAGTGTCGCTCCGCAAATTTGCCTCGAACCACGGGATTCCGGTAGTTTCGCTCCCATCAGCGGAGCGCCACTCCGCCGAGTGGGCTCGAACAGAAAGATTACGCTTGTTTCGCTCCTATTAGCGGATCGCCGCCCCGCAAACTGGCCCCAACCAGAGTTACGATAGTTTCGCTCCCATTAGCGGAGCGCCGCTTCGCAACTTGGGGTCGAATAGCAAGGATTGCACTTGCTTCCCTTGGCCTCCAAACGAAGGATTACGACAGTTTCGCTTCCATTAGCAGAGTGCCGCTTCGCAAATTGGGCTGGAACAGAACGGATTGCTCTTGCTGTCTCCCATTCGCGGAACGTTGCTCCACTCATTGACATCAGTCGGAGAGGATTACAATCCGCAACCATGAAGAGTCTTTGAGGGGCCTGGAGCGCAAATTACCAAAGCTCTTGGGGCTTGTCGCGGCTTGTCGGGGGCTTGAAGGGTTGTCGCAGGAATTGTTCGGACCCAAAAGGGCCCCAAGAGGGGCCAAGAGGCCTTCAAAAGACCGCCAAAACGGTCCAAGAGGCTCCAAAAACTGTCCCCAAGAGGCCCCCGAAAGCGTACCGAAGAGACCCAAATAAGCATCCCTGATAACTCTGGCCGGAACCCAAGCACGGTGGCGGGATAAGCCAAAGGCCATTTGATCCGCCGCCCCCTGTCGATTCATCGCAAGGGTGCCTGGCGTGCTAGATCCTTTCGGTTTTGGTTTTGGTTCTTTTTCCACAAGAGCTCCCCCTGGGGCTTCGGCCCGTCCCGCCGGCCACCCGGAAAGGACCTCAATCCCAAATTTTTCGCTCAAGATGGCCTCCAAAATGTCTCCAAGACGGCCACGATGGCCTCCAAGACGGCTAAGATGGCCCCAAAATGCCTCCAAGACGGCCCAAGATGCACCCAAGACGGCCTAAGATAGCCTCAAGATGGCCCAAGACGGCCCAAGAGCCCCCTAAGAGGTCTCCAAGACAGCCCAAGAAGAGGCCTCCAAGAGGTCCTCCAGGAAGGCCCGAAGAGGTAGGATTTTTGCATTTTCGCTTTTTCGGCCTTCCGGCGGCCCAAGAGGCCCCCAAGATCGCCCCAAGATCGCCCAAGAGGTCTCCAAGATGGCCCCATGACGGCCCCAGAGGCCCCCAAGATGCTCTCAAGAGGGCCCCAAGACGGCCCAAGAGGCCTCCAAAACGCCCAAGATACCTCCAAGATGGCTAAGATGGCCCCAAGATGCCTCCAACAATGCCAAATATGCACTCAAGACGGCCTGAGATGGCCTCCAGATGGCCTAAGACGGCCCAAGAGGCCCCCAAGAGGCCTCCAAGACGGCCCAAGAGGCCTCCAAGAGGTCCTTCAGGAGGCCCGAAGAGACCAAAATCATTGATTGGCATTTGCTGCTTTTCGGCATTCCGACGGCTCAAGACGGCGCAAGAGGCCCCAACGATCGCCCAAGAGCCCTCCAAAATGGCCCCATGACAGCCCAAAAGGCTCCCAAGACGGCCCCAAGAGGGCCCACCAACGGCCCAAGAGGCCTCCAAGACGCCCAAGATGGCCTCTAAGAACCCCTGATATGCCCCAAGAGGGCCCCAAGACGACCCAGACAGGCCCCCAAGACGGCTTCCGACGGCGTCAGGCAAGTCAGGAACGCCCTGAGACGGCCAAAGAGGCCCCCAGGAAGCCTCCAAAGGCCCCCCAAAACCCTCCAAGAGGCCCCCGGGAAGCTTCCAGGAGGCCCCAAGAGTGCCCCAAGAGTCGCCCCAGAGGCCTCCTCCTCCTCCTCCTCCTTTTTTTTCTCATCCTCCCCCTCCTCCTCTTCTTGCTCCCCCATGCGTTCCCCGAAGTCTTTCCAAACCGACTCGGGGAACAACTGGCCCGATAGCTTGGCCAAGCTCTGGTACAGCTGTCGGCCAAAGAGGCGCTTTCAAAGGGGCAGGGGGCGGCGGTGATTCGCCGTAGGCGTCTTCGATCCGCCGCCCCCTGTTGGCTTGCCACAGGGGTGCCCGGCGTGCTAGACCCTTTCGGTGTTGGTTTTGGTTCTTTCCAAATCCCCCCCTGGGGTTTCGGCCCGTCCCGCCGGCCACCCGGAAAAGTGCACAAAAGGTGGTTGCAAAGGGTGTTTCGCCTCCAGACGGCTCCAAAATGGCCCAAGCTGACCTCCAAGATGCCTCCATGATGGCCAAGATGGCCTCCAAGACGGCCTGAGAGGGTCCAAGATACTTCCAGATACGCCCAAGAAGCCTCCAAAACGGCCCAAGACTGCCCAAGAGGTGTCCAAGAGGCCTCCAAGAGGTCCTCCAGGAGGGACCGAAGATGCTAAATCATACATTTTCGTTAGGTTTTTGACCATTTTTGTATTTGCTCTTTGTCGGCCTTCCGACGACCCAAGACGGCCCCAGAGGCCCCCAATATCGCCCCCAGAGCGCCGAAGAGGCCTGCAAGATGGCATCAGGACTGCCCAAGAGGCCCCCAAGGCGGCCCCAAGAGGGCCCAAAGACGGCCCGAGAGGCCTCTGAGACGCCCAAGGAAGCCTCCAAGAGTGCACTGGAGCACCCCATGAAGGCCCTAAATCGGCCCAGAGCCCAGGAAGACCCGAAGAGGCCAAAATCATTGATTTTCTTTTGGTTTTCGAAGGATTTTGGCATTTGCTTCTTTTCGGCCTTCCGACGGCCCGAGACGGCCCAAGAGCCCCCAAAGATCGCGAGGCCTCCAAGGTGGCCCTGGAACGGCCCAAAAGGCCTCCAAGACGGCTCCAAGAGGGCTCAACGACGGCCCAAGACGCCCCCAAGACAGTTTCCAAGACGGGCCCAAAGCATTCCAAGAGGGCCCTAAGTCGGCCCAGAGAGGCTCTCAAGACGGCTTCCGACGGCGTCAGACGGGCCAGGAGCTCACCAAGACGGCCGAACATGGCCCTAAGATGGCCCAAGACGGCCCAAGAGGTCTCCAAGAGAGCCCCCAGGAAAGCCCGAAGAGGCCAAAATCATTGACTTTCCCATGGTTTTTGAAGAATTTTGCCATTTGATTCTTTTCGGCCTTCTGACGGCCCGAGACGGCCCAAGAGCCCCCAAAAATCGCGAGGCCTCCAAGGTGGAACCGGAACGGCCCAAGAGCCCCCAAAGATCGTCCCACGATCGCCCAAGAGGCCTCCAGGATGGTCCCAGAGCAGCCCAAGAGGCCTCCAAGACGGGCCCAAGAGGGCCCCAAGAAGGCCCAAGAAGCCTCCAAGACGCCCAAGACAGCTTCCAAGACGGCCCTTGAGCACCCCATGCGACGCGATGCGACCACCGTTGCGGACAGCGTCCGGGCCTAGAGCAGACCAGGTGGGTGAGACCATGGCCTCTAGGATCTGAGGTGTCTGGATTCATGCACTGCGGGACATGTAAAAAGTTAGGAGGAGAGGGGGAGGAGGATGAACAGAAAGTCCTTGGTGTCGGTGTCGGCGCGGGTTGGGTGAGACGTCTCGACGTTCGCAGAGATTTTACGTCATTGGTCTGAGTCCCAGGTGCTGGTCGACGTGAGGTCGGTGAAGTGGTGCTGGAGCGCTGTCCATGCTTCGGTGTCTTGGGCTGTTTGCGTCCATGTGATGTCGTTCGGTTGTCCTTTCGAATGGGCTTGCGTGGGCGGTCGGTGGAGGTCTGGTCTGCGTTGACGTAAGTATGTGGTGACTCCGTCGTCCCAACGCTTGTTTTGGCCACCGTGCTGCCTGTGTCCCCGCTGGCGCGGGTTGAGGACTGGGTGCCAGCGCAGCACTCGCCATGTCCACCTCGTCCAGTCGTGGTTTGCGACTCGTGACGCCATGCGCCATACTTTCCGTCTGTGCAGCGCCCCAGTTGCCAATGTGGTGGAGCTTCATGAGGTGCTCTGCGCGTCGTGTCGCTCGCTGGATGTAGTCGACCCATGGTTCCATTTCGTCTGCGGTGGTGCTGTCTTCGCCGTCGTCGCTGTGCTTATCAGGCGTGTCAGGTGCATCACACTGTGATGACTTGCTGTCTGCGTCGTCGCTAATGCTGTTGGTGCGGTCTCCGTGGTCTTGTGCTTCGTTGTTCGCGCTGTCGAGATTCGGTCCGCGGCCTCTGTGAGGGCCGGCTTCTTTCGTTGTGCGTCTCCATGGCGTTCTGATGATCATGCGAAGCATGCGTCGTTGTGTCCGTCGTAGATGGTGGCGTGGAGGCTCCGTGAGGGTCCACGTCTCTGCTCCGTATAACACTGTTGGTGCTGCAGGGCTGTTGAAAAGTCGGAGTCGGTGAGCCAGTGGGTAGTGTTTGCTGGTCAGCTCCTGCTTGCGAGACGTGAATGGTGCCCATGCAGCTCGCGTGCGGTGGTGGATTTCCGATTTCATCAGTTCGTTGAAGCTGATCAAGTGGCCGAGGTATTTGATACTGCCCTCATATGGAACGATTTCTATATCCATGTCTTGGAAACGTGCTGTACGTGAGCTCGCCCTTCCGGTCCTTCTCGTCTGGTTGCTCAATATTTTGGTTTTGATTTGGTGTAGTTCGAGCCCGAGTAGCTTCGTCGCGCGCACAATATCGTCAAGCATCGCTGTCAGGCGAGGAGAGTTTGGCTGGTCAGGAACACGTCGTCGGCGAAGCGTAGGTTGGTCAGCGTGGCGGTGCTCGTGAATCCCAATTCAACTCCCTTCCTTTTTTTGCTGCCATTCGGAAACCAGCGGTCCAAGGAAGTACTGTAGAAGAGTGTTGAAGAGTAGGGAGCTGAGTGGGTCTCCCTGCTTCGTGCCCCGCAGGAGGCTAAAGGGTCTGCTGCTGACGTCTGTCCTCACCGTGGCTGCCTGTCTCTCATAGAGCTGTTGGAGTAATGCAACGTATCTAGGTTGGACCCCTTGTGCCTTCAGTGCTGCCCATATGCTCTTGTGCTCAACTGAATCGAAAGTTTTTTTGAAGTCAAGTGCGACCCAGAGGTTTTGGCCCTATTCGTTTGTGCGCTCGCGCAATAAATCGAAGGTAGAGAGGTGGTCAGTGGTCGAATCGCCTGGTCTGAAGCCCGCCTGGTCGGCACTCTGATGTGAATCGGGCGTCGGTTGTAGCCTGTTGTACAGTAGTTGGCTGAAGAGCTTGTACAACAATGGTATCGTGCAAATGGGGCCCAAAATTGGCCCAGAGTGGCCCCCAAGACGGTTTCCGACGGCGTCAGACGGGCTAGGAGCCCACCAAGATGGCCAAAGAGGCCCCCGAGAAGCCCCCGAAGGCCTCCAAGAGGCCTCCAAGAGGGCCCCGAAGATGCCTCCGAGAGGTTCACCGGAAGCTCCCTGGAGGCTCCAAGAGTGTTCCCAGATGCTCCCAAAATGCCCCCTCTTCCTCCTCCTTCTCCTCCTCCTCCTTCTCCTCCACCTCCTCCTCCACCTCCTCCACCTCAAGCGGTTTAGACCGGAGCTCAAGGGGGGCATGTAATCTTGCTTGCTTACGCGCACACACGTGTGGGTCGCTTGGGAGTGCAGAGGACATCAGGAGCATCAGAAAGGACTCCACCACCTCCTCCTCCGCCTCCTCCTGATCTTCCCCGCCATCCTCCCCCACGTGTTCCCCGAAGGGTTTCCACAACGGCTGTGGGAACACATGGTCCGATAGCTTGGAAGAGCTCTTGCCACAACGCTCGGCCACATGGGCGATTCTAGAACGCAAGGGGCGGCGGTGATTCGCCGTAGGCGTTTTCGATCCAGACGCATGATGGGAACATCGAACACATCTGTCATAACAAAATTTGGGATGAACTCTGAGCGTGCTGCGACTGCACTCCAGAATCCGTGTTGAACGCGCTGCCATAGTGTTCTGCTGCCTGGAAGACTTGTCGTATATCGGAGGGTCTATTAATCACCATCCCTTCGAGACGCAGCCGGACCCACCGAATCTTTCGTTCCAGCACGCACAGTAATATCTCAGAGCACTTGTTCTCGCCTTGTGCTGAAGCTCAAACGACGCTTGCCCCTGGACTGCTTGTCGACGCCATGCTGGCAAAAGTGTTGAGGCGTGCCCATCCGCGGCGTGCGATGACCAACCTTACCTCTCGTGGCATAACGCGTGGGGAACTTCACTCTGCAGGTAACCGCACCACGAACTTTGGGGGCTCACAGACTCCCCCCGCGGAGGCCCCGCAGATGCTCCCCCTAGAGGTCTCGAGAAGTCCGTGGAATCCTGGATGGATCACCAAATCGCTCTTGAGATCGGGGGCCGCCCCGCTCCCATGCCGGCCCGTCTCCTCTACGTCCGACGGCTTCGCCGGCTGCCCGGCGGTGCGGCCAGCTGGCGCGCACGCGGCCAGCCTTCAGGAGGGAAGCATCTATACGAATAGACGGCCCATCTGGTGGCCCCTGTCGCAGCTCCACCCGCGGCTGTGGACGGATATGGGCAACTCAAGAGGCAGATGGCAAAGACGATGGCGATGGATATGGTACAACACAAATGAAGCTGGAATTCCAGCCCTGGTACCGACTCGCTGAACCTGGGAGATGAATCAGAACCTGTCACGGGTGTAGACTGCCAGTGCTGGGGACAAGAAACTTATATCAGGCCCCTTCCCCCCTGGCCAAGTGCACGCCAAAGGCGGAGAGCAACTGCATGCAACCTGCCTTTGACGAGCAAGCGCCGACTCAGTTGTAGACAATTCCAGGTCGGCTTCCGAGAAGATGCTCGCCCGCCCTCCCACTGCCCCACCCTACAGCGCCCGACCATCGCCATGGCGCACAAAAGCAACATGCGAGCGGGGTCAGGGCTCTGCGCGTGACTCGGGTTGCACGCAAACGTTCCTGCCACGAGCAAGGCCTCTTCAGCCGAGCGCGCGCACCGCACGTCTGGCTGGGGACTCCCCCTCGAGAGACCGCGACCGAGTTCAGACCTCTGAATGCGACAGGCGGACGCGCCGGATGTCTTCGAATCGATTCCTGTGATTATGCCCCCTGTAGCCACCCTACAGCCCGAGTTAAGTGCAGAAAACCGACAGCACCTCCCAAGATGACTCGAACAATACGAATAGTTTCGCGAACCTCGCTCGAGTCGCAGATCGTGAAAGTCCATGAGCACTCAGACCCCTGGCCCATGCAGGCTGACCCAGGAAGAGGGGCCCAAGAGGCTTCTGGGAGCGCCCGAGGAGCGCCCCCCCCAAGCCCCAGACAGCCCAAGTTGGTCTCCGGCCGGCTCCCAGGCAGTCCAAGCGGGCCTCAGTAATCCACCCAAACAAAGCTCCGAGACGCTCCAGGAAGGCAAGTTATCGTAGCAACACGTGATGCTGTTCGATGGTTCCTATTCGTCGCCTGCTTGGCTTCCAATGTGTCCCAATATAGCTTCAGGACGTTCCCGAGAGGCCCCAATATAGCTCCACTATCATCCAATATTGCCAAACAGTGGCCTCCAGATGCCCCAAGCCGCCACCAACATCGCCCAACAAGGCTCCATATGGATCCCAGGATGCCCCCACGAGTCCTCGAGATGGCCCCCACAGGACCTAACCAACTGCAATAATATATGGCCAAGCGAAGTCCCAAGACAGCACCGGAGAGCCCAGAATCGAATCGATAAGTCGGATCAGCGATCGAAGTGAATAGGATAAATCGACAGGCTAGGAACTCTCCGTATTCAGAAATCGGAATCGGAATCCGAAGACGAATGGAGTCGGAGTCAGAAACCAGCGACATCGAATCGAATCGGAGAAATCGAAACGAGCCCTGCATGGTGCTTGACGCGCCACTATCTCCGAGGCCCTGGACGCAGCGCCAGAGCTCCGAGATCGCTTCATGATGGCCCCGGTGGACCCGTCCTGAAAGGCCCCGGGGGCAGGCCCAAGAGGCCAGACTTCGCGGACTCCGAAGAATCCAAACCAGCATTCGGTGCGCCAGAGGGGATTATTGGGCAGGGGGGAGGGCTTATTGGAAGGAGGCTGCTTCTTAGAAGGCGCTGGCCCTGCACATACAGACAAGGCCCGCACCTTCCAAGAAGCAGGGGTGCTCCTGAGAAGCCCTTCCCCCCTCCCACTACCCCCTTCTGCGCGTGGCCGAGGTAGGCTCCCGAAGGGGCTCCGCTCGGTCGGCGGCCGGACGACGGAGGATGCAGGCCGCTCCTACCCGCGATGCGAGCCTGTGCTCGAACGTTTGGCACAGCAGGACAACGCCTGGTGCAAAGTCCCCCCCTAGAGGACGAAACCAGGGCGGGGCTAAAATCGCGTGAGGGCAGATCGAGAATCTCTGAGATCCGGCGGGTCTGGAGGATGTCTCGGGCGCCGCGGCCTTCTTCAGCTCTGGAACGGATTCATCCTCAGCCTCTGAGACCAGCCTGCGCTCGGGCCGTAGGGCGGCCGAGAAGTCAATTTGCAGAATGCCTGCTAGACTGGGTCACGAGCTCTCTGACGCCCCTTTGACCGGCCCCCGCTGTGCAAGCGGGATCCCCGTCCATGAGAAGCCTCGAGGGTCTCTGGCGCTGCCGCCCGAGGCCCCAAACAACCGAAGATGGCCTCCAAGACGGGAACATCGCCAAACTCGTGCCTAGATGACGTCCAGCATGCCCTTCAGAGGCCACGAGACCGCCGCAAAGCAGGCCGAGGTGGCCCAAGGATGCTTCTGAGATTCCAACATCGTCAGACAACAACAGTGTTAGAGTGTTTCTGTCTTCTTGCCGTTTCTTTTCCGATGGGGTTCCAGGACCTCAGGACGCCCCGAAATGGTCCACGGTTCTCCCCCCAAACCCAGAAGGGCGTCAAGAGAGCACCAAAGGCCAGCCAGAGGTAATCAAGAGGCTCCAACGACGAGGCGAGTTCTGTGGATCCACTGTGATCCACCAACCCAAGAATCTTGCACAATCCAATTATTGAGATTTCGCGTTCTCTGGTTACGGAAAAAACCGGCAGAGCTAACAGTTCTAAGTTACCGCAGGGTACCACTTCTCAGGGCGGGAACTTGCTACCAACTGCAGACGCCTGCGCTCGGGCTTCCAGGCAGTCGAGAAATCAAGTAGCAGAGTGCTTGCCCCACCGGGTCAGCGCCAACCTGGGTCAACCAAGGCGGCTGTGTAGCCTAGCTTTTTGGTGAAACCCTGCGCGCCGTCGCGCTGGCCCCGGGCAGGCTGTGCTGCCCGGCGAAGGGGGAAGAGAGGAGGGGGAAATCAGGCAGACGACGAGGAACGCGCAGGCGGGAGGCCGGGGCCGGCGGGGCGGGCGGGCAGGCGGAAGGGGGGCCCGGCGGAGACAGCAGGGAGGGAGCAGGAGGAAAGGGAGGGAGACAAGGAAGAGGAGGAGAAGGGAAACGAACGCACGCAGACAGGCCGGGGGAGAGGAGAGCCACCTGCAAGGAGGCCAACTACTGACCCTACGGCGGCGACGCCGACCAGGCGGCGCAGGCGTAGCGGTGGAATGGGCAATGGGCGTCGGGGGGGGAGGTCGTTTGCGGTCGTCGGGAAGGGCCAGCGGCGCGGGGGGGCCGCAAGGGTGGGGGGCGCTAAATTAGGCAGCGCCGGGGGCGCCAGGTAGCTGCGGCCGCGGCCAGGCGGGCCCCTGCCACCCTCGCCCCTCCAAGCAGCGTCTGGAAGCGCCGCGGCGCCGCCCGCGCGTTCTTCCTGTGCAGGGAAACGGAAAGTCGTTGGACGCATTGGTCCGCAACTAGGGCGGCGTCTTCCCCCATGGCGTCGCGCACCCGCTTGGCTAGGACCCCGAAGGCCCTGCGTGCCTCGTGGCCCGCTCGCCGCCGTGGGCTTCCACCGCCAAGGGGAGGAAGGTGAAACCCTTTGCCGCGCAAAGCCGCGCGGTGTCCTGTGAGAAGGAGAGGAGCAGAAAGCAGACTGGGCGTGGAGACTTGGAGAGAGAAAGTGGCCGCTCATAGAAGCGCTCGATTCGGGCGGCGGCCACAGGTGCTCGAAACTACGTGGGCGGTTTCACATCGTCGCCTGTCCTCCTCCTCCTCCTCCTCCTCCTCCTCTTTTCTCTTCCCTCTCATCCTCTTCTTCCTCCTCCTCCTCCTCCTCCTCCTCCTCCTCCACTCTCTCCTCTTCTCTCCTCCTCTTCTCTCCTCCTCCCTTTCCTCCTCCTCTTCCTCCTGCTCCTCCTCCTCCTCCTCCTCCTCCTCCTCGTCTCTCCTCCTCGTCCTCCTCCTCCTCCTCCTCGTTGTCGTCCTTCTCCTCCTCCTGCTCCCTTCCCTCCTGCTCTTCCTCAGGGGGTGCCTGGGCCTCATCAGCCTGGTTGGTGTAAGCTCGTCTGGCAACGCTGGCTGCCCGTCGGCGTCGGGGCTGGGCGCCGCAGCGGCTGGCCTTCCGGCGGGCTGGATGGCGGTGGTGGTGGTGGTGGTGATGAGGATGAGGATGAGGATGAGGATGAGGATGAGGATGAGGATGAGGAGGAGGAGGAGGAGGAGGAGGAGGGAGGAGGGAGGAGGGAGGAGGGAGGAGGGAGGGAAGCCTCTTCCTGCTCCTGCTACCTCCTCCTTCTCCTCCTCCTTCTCCTGCCTCCTCCTCATGCTCGGGGCTGGGCGCGGCTCCGGGGATGGGGCAGGGAGCGCGAGAGGAGTGGCCAGTGCTAAAACACGGGGGCGCCTGAGAGATCGAGACCTCCGACGGGCCGAGGAGGCGAGGGGAGGAGACGGGCTGAGGTAGATATTTGTCAATGCAAGTAAGCAGGAGGTAACTAGGAGTAGCAGGAGTAGGAGTAGGAGTAGGAGTAGGAGTAGGAGGAGGAGGAGGAGACGGAGGAAGAGAGGGAGGAGGACGAGGAGTAGGAAGAGGAGGAGGAGGAAGAGGAGGAGGAGGAGGAAGAGGAGGAGGCGGAGGGAGGAGGAGGAGGAAGCGGAGGCGGAGGCGGAGGAGGAGGAGGAGGAGGAGGAGGAGGAAAAGGACCAGTGCAAACCCAAGAGTCACCAACGATGTTGGATGGGCCCTCCCCCCAAGCTCCCTCTTCATAGGCCCCTACAACGGTTCACTTCCGCGGAGGGACCTGCCTCGTTTGAAGATAACCGTTTGAAGACCCTCACGCATGCCAGAACATGTTCTCGGTAGTCCAGCGCCACGGATAGACCTGACTGTCGCGTCTTGACGATCCTGAATCGTGCCAGAACGCCATTCCTGGGACTTCAACACTTCGAAACATTGTAACTGTTGCGCCCTCATGATCTGGAAATCCGCGACATGCTTGCAATTTGTTAGAAAGAATGTGCGCAGCGCTAAAGCGAGAACCCCATGCTGAAAAGGAGCCGCCCCGAATTTGTGAAACTCTTGCAAAGTTTGCTAAACAATGTGCGCGGCGCTAAGGCGAGAACCTCATTTTGAAAACCACCCGCCCTCAATCCGCGAAACTTTTGCAAATGTTGAGAAAGGAATGTGCGCGGCGCTGAAGCGAGAACCACATGTTGAAAACCACCCGCCCTCAATGAGTCAAGCTCTTGCAAAGTTTGAAAAAAAAAGGAGTGTGCACGGCGCTGAGGCGAGAACCGCATTTTGAAAACGACCCGCCAGCAATCCGTGAAGCTCTTGCAAATGTTCAAAAAGACTGCGCGCGGCGCTGAAGCGAGAACCACATTTTGAAAACCACACGCCCTCAATCCGTGAAGCTCTTGCAGCATTTGAAAATGAATGTGCGCGGCGCTGAGGCGAAAACCACATTTTGAAAACCACCCGCCTCCAATCCGTGACACTCTTGCAAATTTTCAAAAAGACTGCGCGCGGCGCTGAGGCGAGAACCACATCTTGAAAACCACTCGCCCTCAATCTGTGCAGCTCTTGCAAACGTTCCAGAAGACTGTGCGCGGCGCTGAAGCGAGAACCACATTTTGAAAACCACCCGCCCTCAATCAGTCAAGCTCTTGCAAAGTTTGAAAAATAATGTGCGCGGCGCTGAGCGAAAACCGCATTTTGAAAACCACCCGCCCTGAATCCGTGGCACTCGTGCAATGTTCAAAACGACTGTGCGCGGCGCTGAAGCGAGGACCACATTTTGAAAACCACACGCCCTCAATCCTTGAAGCTTTTGCAAAATTTGAAAAAAAAGATGTGCGCGGCGCTGAAGCGAGAACCACATGTTGAACACGACCCGCCTACAATCCGTAAAACTCTGGTAAACTTTCTTAAAGACTGTGCGAGGCGCTGAAGCGAGAACAACATGTTGAAAACCACTCGCCGTCAATCCGTGAAGCTCTATTTTTTCAGTCGAATGTGCGCGGCGCTAAGGCGAGAACCACATTTTGAAAACGACCCACCCCCAATCCGTGAACCTCTTGTTGCAATTTTTGAAAACGAATGTGCGCGGCGCTGGGGCGAGAACCACATTTTGAAAACGACCCGTTTTCCGCCTGCGAAGCTGTTGCCAATGTGTAAACTTCAGGGCGTAAGTGGTAAGGAAGTCTCAGGCGAAACGCCCGGCCCGCCCTAAAAACTAGCCTCGGGGTGCGACAGGGAGAATTCTTTATGCGGAGAGGGAACGGAGGAGGAGGAGGAGGAGGAGGAGGAGGAGGAGGAGGAGGAGGAGGAGGAGGAGGAGGAGGACAAGCTAGGTGCGCTCGCGTCATATCTGACGTCCTACCCCTCCCTCCCATCCCTTACCATGGCGCTGATTTTCTCTATCCGCGGACGCGTGTCGTAGCGGACCTGTGGCTCCGCGCGCGCGTGCGTAGTGGGTGGTGGTGCACGTGCGTGCGTGCGTGCGTGTGTGCGTGGTTGTGTGGTGGTGGTGTGGTGGTGTGGTGGTGGTGGTGGTGGTGGTGGGTGGGTGGTGGTGGTGGTGCTGGGTGGTGGTGGTGGTGCTGGTGGTGGTGGTGTTGGTACTGGTGCTGGTGGTGGTGGTGGTGGTGGTTGGTGGTGGCGGTGCGGCGCGGTGGTGGCGGGCGGATGGGCGGTGTTGGTACTGGTGGTGCTGGTGCTGGTGGTGGTGGTGTGGTGGTGGTGGTGGTGGTGGTGCGGTGCGGCGGTGGTGGCGGGCGGATGGGCGCGCGAGAAAAAGGCCCGCGCTGGGGCGAGAACGCCATCCTGAACGACGGAGGCCAAACACCGATCCGAAAATGAGGCCCACGCTGCAGCGGGAGCACGATTCGGAACGATTCGGGAGCAGAAATGAGGCCGGCGCCTCAACGAGAGCAGCATTTTGGGAAAAAATGACGCCGGCGCCTCAGCGAGAGTCGTTTCCCGGGATTTCCCGGGAATCCTGTGTAAAAAAACAGTACGCGGAGGGTGCGCGGCCATCACCCGGACGCCATCAGGGGAAGAGGGAGAGTATTTTCATATTGAGTAATTGTAGAGGAGGAGGAGGAGGAGGATGAGGAGGAGGAGGAGGAGGAGGAGGAGGAGGAGGAGGGGCGCCAGGCACGATGTAGGCCTGGGCGGTTTGAGCGTTTTCCAGCTTGGCGTCGAGAAGAAAGAGGAGGAGGAAGACGAGGAGGAGAAGCAGGAGGAGGAGGAGGAGGGAGAGAGAGGTGGAGGATGGAGGAGGAGGAAGAACGAGGAGGGGGAGGAGGAGAGCGCCTGATGAATACAGTTCGTCCTTTCGATTGCGCTCATTGTCTTCCTCCAACTCTGCTCGTGGCGCCTCTTGTCAAGCCAGAGGTAGATGATAATCTATGGTAAACAACAAGATTCGCAGGTCAGAGGCTGAGAAACCCATGCAACACATGTGTTTGTGTTCTCTCTCTCTCTCTCTGCTCTCTCTCTCTCTCTCTATCTCTGCTCTTTCTCTCATATATATATATATAGATATATCTAAAGCTTTTGGGGATCTATGCGCGCAAAAGTGGATAGATGCGCAACGCCAGAAACACCCGACACCATGCTTTTTTACAGTGCTTGCCGACCCTCCGACCTGCAACACATTTTTTTCCAATGGTATATGGGGGGAAGTGGGGAGGAATATGCAGGCCGCTGCATCGCAACGTACGGCTCTGCGCCTGGAGTGACGGGGCACGCCGTGGCCGTTCTCATCTTCCTTGGAGGGTTCATCGTGTTCGACGGTGATGTGTGCGCCTACCACGCGGGCCACGTCTCGTGGCATAGCATGCCCGATGGCGTGCGTGCCGGGGAATGCAATCGGCGGCAAGTTCGGGGCGCCTGAGTAGGCGACGCCAGCGCCGCGCTGTCGCCGCCTCCGCCGCGATGGCGATGCGCACGATGCAGCGGTGCGCACGATGATTCCCCGACCCTCGCCCCCAGCGAGGCGCAAGCGTGCAGGCGCCAGCGGGGACGCACACGAACCAGAATTTGTGCACGTCGGGAGGGGGCAGCGCCCGTGACAGGGGCGGGGCGCTGGTTTCAGAACGCACCACTTGACAACATGGACCACGGCGCCCTGCCGCGATTTTCAATGACGCTGCGCTTCGGAGGGCCCGCAATTTCCGCATTTGCAACTCTGTACCTAGCCATCTGGACTCAATTCGGCGGTATCCCATCGGCCCCTCCTGCTTTCGCACGCTTTTGTGCCCGAGCACCATGCCGCATGGCGGGAAAGCCTCCCAGGTGGACAAGCACCGTCGGGGGCCACCGAGTGCAGAAGGCGATCGCAGATAATAATAATTTGTTTGATTATCATAAGAATAAGAATAAGAACATAAGACGAATAAGACGAAGAAGACGAAGAAGAAGAAGAAGCCCGCACACGCCACGCTGCCGACCAAACAGTTAGCTGGCATGCGCGGTCGCACGCAGGTGTCGCTGCCAAAGGGGGGGCGCGTGAGCAAGAGGTCCATGATGAAGAAGGGGAGGGCGAAGGCTGCGAAGGAAGCCCCAGGTCCGTCTTACATCCCGCCAGTGCAGAAGCAACCTGCTCGCAGACGCGCTGCCGAACTGCGCGTGTCTGATCGGATTTCTCGACGTGGCGCGCATCAGCCCTGAGCTCCTCGCGCGCATCATGTTCGAGATTGGAGTCTTACCAGATCGAAGGGTTGAGTGCTCGGAGTGCAAGTGCGGTACAATGGAACTGCATCTTCGGAAAAGCCAGTCGGAGAGCGACGTCCAGGTGGCAGGCTTCACCATTCCGCCCCTGGACTGCCCTGTGTGGCGCTGTTCCAACTGGGCATGTCAGTAGCGCGAGGCGAACCTCGACCAGAGGGCCCCTTCTGAAGGAGTTGTTCAACAAAAGCACCGTGAACAACACCCGCACACTTCTCGCTATTGCCCACGCAGCATCCCAGCACGCCTCACGCTACGAGTCGTCGGACGAGCTGACGATGCAGGCGGGGATTTCGAAGACATCAGCTCAGCGCATTGCAGGAGTCGTTAGGGGCGTATGTGCTCGCGTTGCCAAGGCCGAGCAAGATGGGTTAAATGACCGCGCGGGT